TATTATATATACTCTATTAAATATCGGCTTTTTAATTTAATTTATATAAGTGATACAATATATTGTCTTAACAGTCTGAGTAGCACTCGCACACACTCCCACAGTTTATAGAGGATATAAATATATATAGAATACGTATACATTGAATCGTATAATATATATAGACAATCTGAGCACGCAAATTGCTTGGCGACGGCACTTCTAAGATTTCGCGATGAGCTTAGTTCAACTCATTCGATTCGATGCGCCAAAAGTCTCTGTGAACCAGTTCATATGAACACATATTTTCTTTTTAGTTTGTTGTCACTATTTATTTATGTCTATTTATGGTCAATTTAAATGCATTTTTATTGAATTTATTTTGATTTCAATGCCGCGCTAACTCACTTATACGATTCACTTTCCGTTTTCGAATGCGTTCTGCGTTCTGCGTCTGCCGTTCTCCGCAATTGGCAACTGTTGCTCCTATCTACTTGTTGAACACTGCGTAACCGACTCGCGGCGCCGACTTCTTTTATAAAGGACGAGCGGAGCCGAGCATCGCACGAAGCTCGAGGCGAGCGCACACGAAGGTGACGCGCCAAAAAATTGCGTAAAAGCTCGACGAAGCTTTTACGATTACGCCTAATCGTTGCCCGCCCCTACGGCTGCTTCGCCGACTCCTGCTCCATTAGATTCCTTCCGCTGACTTTATCAATGAAATATTTCGTCACATTTGCACAAGTTTTGTCGCCCGATATTGTCTTATGAAAAATGATGGGTAAATCGTGCGGGGAATTTAGCCGTAAAAAAGTAGCCGCAATTATTTACGCCGCACGATACGGTAGGCTGAGTGGGCGTGGCCTGGTTAACAACACTAATTGTTGACAATGCTTTTTATTATATAGCATTTCAGGCGTCACTTTCGATTCCAGGAAAACTAACAAGCGTGGGCCGAATTCTCTTTATGGACGCATTTTCTTTTTGTCCTGTAAATGGCGACGCGGAAATCCCCGCGGAACGTGTGTGACGACGATTTCTAAGGAATCTGCGTGTGTGCATTTCGCATTCTCTAGCTCTCGCTCTCACGTGCTTCCTTTGCTGTTTTCATAAAATTATTTCTTATCGGCCAACTGTCATCATAAATCTCTTGATTTTTTATTACGCTCATATATTGCGCTTTGACAGGCATGCTAATCACAGCAATTAGTCGGCGATTGTGTCATATGTCATTTAAATACCTTTACGTGGGCGATTCTAATTTGAGCTGGATAAAGTTCAGGTAGAGCAACAAAACGTTGGTCATGAGCTGTATTTGTTATTTGTTTTAGAAATTTTCTTTAGTTCTATCTCTATCTGCCTTCATTGCTTAGATTAACAATCCTATAGAGGCGGACTATCCAGAGAAGATACTGATTAACTCTCTGTCGTAGAAGAGATTCGTCTTGTAATCTGACCAATCGTGACAATTATAATATATTATTATACGTAAAAGTTCTTATAAACCCTCTGCCTTTCCTTAAATTTAATTATGGTCGAACTGTGAATATGTATATCTAACCATCAACAAACACTTATTAAGTTATTTACTTCACATCTAGTATATGTGTGCTCATAAATATGTCATTGGCACTTGGAAAAAACTCCGTGGCACCTGTGAGAGTAGAAAGCGTCTTACACATAAAATGAAGCCAAGTCTCGCTGGCTAAAGTTTTAATATTCCTTATCGAAGCAAAACGATGATAGAGTGTCGCTATCTGTGGAGCGGTAGGTTAGGACAAGGGGAGGTCCGGTGTGGGTGGGTAATCCGCAGTCAGTTGGCTGACACCGCTCTGGCACCCACAAGCAACACTTTAAAGTCAATAACTGGAAGGGAGAGCAAATCATTTGCATGGGTTCCACTTCGCAAAGAGGGTCGCAGCTAAGAGGGATCAGGACACACACGCACACACACACACACACAAGAATTGCCTAGGGCAACCAAAACCAAATGATAAAACGCTGTCGCTCTAAAGAAAACCAATAACAGACACATTCGAAGAGTCCAAGTTCAAGATGTAACCACGACCAATCGACAAAGGGGGGGCCGATGCGAAAAAAGTATTTTTAGCTTGTGGCAAACATAAATTGTCTATTTTTATTTTCAACTTAACTTTTCATCAAAGACAACAACAAAATGCAGTTTGCATTCGTTACAAAGGTTCATATTTGAAAACTTTATATGGCATCCCAGCCCACGACTGCTAGATGCGTCACGTCAGTTGATATATGTAT